AAAACCGGCCTACTTCCAGCGAACTAGCTCCAGTCTCAGCCGAGTCTATTCTGTTTCTATCCGTAAAACCAAGTCTTTTGTGTGCCAGCCCACAAATGTTGTGGTACTGCTTGCTTTTATTAAGTTTAATGTTAAATCACAACGTGCTAAGAATGACAAGACTCACTGACGATGCCGTGCGAAACGTCCGGGAATGTAACATGTCCACGGTCCGAATTTTGACATGATCATGTATGCAAAGGACTCCGGACTAAGTGCGTTTCCCTAAGTCTTCTTACCAATAGGACCAAGTTGAGAAAACAAGGTTAAACAACTTCTAAACAATAAAAGGAGACTGCGACCACCCAAAAGGCCACATCATCTTGGTCTTCATATCTTCGACTAAAATATCATAGTTGCAAATGAATATTTTATTGATAGTTTTTTCGTTCATGTGCATTATTGAAGTTGTGTTGTGAACCGAGTAATAGGTCGAATTAGTAAGGATATTAATATAATATCGTCCGAATCGCCTTGAAAACCGAAAGGTGCCAAACTTTGGAAGAGGCGGCTAAAACTGCGGAGAATGTGATGGAAGTAATTACGCAACAAATTTATTCTGTTACCGCCATCGAAATAAAGCTCATACACGGATTCGAGACAACCATGAAGAGTGCTATAAATATTACAGGCTATACAATTAAAAGTGCAGGAGCATCCTCTATTCTTGAATTTCGAAGCAAGATCACCTAAAATGCACTGTCGTCCAAGCCTAGGAAGATACCATTATAAATTTGGGATTTCAAGGATGTGGTTGGATTCCTCCTTAGTCTTGGAGATTTGACCAAAGATATTATCAAAAACCATCACAATTAGGAAACTTAGAACCACACAGATCTCGGCGACAAGCTGTTCTGAAGCAGCACTTGATGGCCGCCTTTTTGTATACGAAAAAAGAACAAATATAAAATGTCTTATTGACACGGGTGCCCAAGTCAGTATATTCCTCATACAGCAATAAACAGAAAACGCCAAGATCTTATACCTTCTTTGGTCGCTGCCAATAAGACAGAAATTAAGACTTTCGGTACCAAAGTAGTTTGCATAGATTTGGGTTTCAAAAGGTTGCTTGAGTGGACTTTCGTTGTGGTGGATCTACCTTTCGCTTTCCTTGGAATTGATTTTCTCAGGGGACATAGGCTTTGCATTGATCCAATCAATAACAGACTCGTGGATGCATTATCCAATCATTGGGCCTATACCAAATCGGCTACTTTGTACCAGTCGCACCAGGTCTTTAGGACAGATAATTCAATCTAAAATGAGCTGCCAAGCAGGTTTATCTCAATTACCAAACCTGTCATTCACAGAGGTGCGACTAACCATACAGTAATGCGCCACATCGAGACTATCAGTCGCCCAGTCTTCCACCTACCTCGTCAACTGGACCCAGGCAAGCTGAAGGCAGCCAAATCTTTGTTCAATAGTCTAAGAAATGCTGGTATTATTCGCCCATCAAAGAGTGCATGGGCGTCCCCCCCTCATTTGGTCCATAATAAAAGTAGGAACGAAAGGAGGCCCTGTGGCTGCAACGGTTCCAGATATATATCCTCTGCCACATGTTACGGACATTGCCTTAGCTCCAAAAGGCAGATACATTTTCTCTAAAGTTGACCTAGAAACTGCGTTTCTTCAGATTCTAATAAATCCAGATCACAAAAAAGACAACCATCATCATCTCTTTTGATTTTTTCAGATTTAACATGATCAGTTTTTGGCTTATAAACGCTGCACAAACGTATCAAAGACTAATGGATGAGGTTACTTGTGGTGTAGGAGTTTTTGTCTACACTGATGATATACTAGCTGCTAATGACAATTTGGAACAACAAAAGTAGCAGTTCGTTGCGCTGTTAAAATACGATCTCACCATCTGGTGATTTCTTCCGAAAAACAGTGTTTTTGGCATCGATTCATTGACTCTCCTAGGACATCATATGCTCACGGCATGCTACCAAGTCAAGAGAGAGTTTGAGTATCAAAGATTCCCCCTTCCACGCACCGCTAAAACTATAAGAAGTTTTCTTGTCATGGTAAATTTTTACTATCTAATCATTCCCAACTGTGGGTACATGCTAAATCCTTTGGAGGAGTATCTAAAAACCCGAAAAAGTACATCTCCCTATCTGAAGATGCGCAGCGCATTTTCAAACACATTAAATCAGCCTTCACCGAAGTGACCATGTTGGCACATCCAGATTCAGATGCTGAACTTCACCTCATTATCGACGCTTCCGACCGAGCTGTGGGTAATGCACTCTGTCTGTCAGCCTCTCGCTTGCTACCCTCGGAAACTCACACCAATAGAGCGGAGATAACGCACCTTTAGTCGGGAGCTCTTGGTGGTGTATTCATTAGTGAAATAGTTCAAGCATATTCTCAGTGGAAGACAGCTTCACATTTTAACTGATGACAAACCTGCGTTGAGCCTTTAAGAGCGCTTCAGACAATGATTTCGTTGTCCCTACTAACATTGGAGTGTTGG